TAACTTAATTTTTGCTAGCTGGCAAAGGAACTTTAGTGCCATGAATCGCGAAGCTTATTCAGTGGCTTACACACTGGCAGAAGTAGCTTTTTCTATGCTAATGAGCCAATTTCAATGGTCGCGCCGACGCCAGAGATAAGAGCTGAAACTTAACATGTCGCTTTTTTTTTTAGACTCAGTTGTACTAGCTGCCATGCTTTTGAGTTAAACCTGGTGCTAAGCTGATTTCTTTTTGAATACACGTCGTTTCGTCTATGTCGTGTTTTGTGGGCGTAAAGGTTGTGTCTCGTTTCGTGAGAGCGCAAATCTACATTTTCTTTACTAAAAGATACAGCGACATGTATGTAGGTAGCAAAGCTTCGATGAAATACCTTCATTAAAAAAATGATGGCGTGTTGCTGCTTTCGCACTTCGTTGTTCGAGGTGAAACTTCAATCGAGATAAAAAAGAAAGAGACAAGTGTGATTTCATACTTAAAAATGTGTAGTTACGTCATATTAATGTCTAAAATTCCTTTCAAGTCCTGCACTTCTAACACTATGCAAAGGGTCACTATTGTTCTCTTAACCTGTAGCTTGCTCCTATTTCCTCGCGAGTATGGTGTACAGTTTGCCTACGCATATTTTTCACAAGAATCTAAATATCTAGGATTTAGAGGCGGCCTAAATGCTATAGCTCTAAACAGACTAGGGTTCCGTTATTATTCGCAGCAGAAGCGCTGATTTCTGCGACTCGCAAAGAGCAGGCCAACAACCATGTTGAATAGAGATGTCATGACGCAGAAACAGAAGAATTCGGATATAAAAGAGCTCACTTAAATTTAGTAAGATGGTCTGTAGTGACACTTACCAACTTCTTTCCAGCATGCGAAGTCGGAAATGGTCTGAGGATGTTCATTCCAATTTGAGCAAAAGGCTCGGTGGGCACTTGAACTGGTTGCAACAATCAGGCTGCTTTTAAAGGTGGCGATTTTCGTCGTTGACAGTCGAGGCACGTGCGAACGTAATGCTTCACAGTGCGCGAAAGCTTCGGCCAGTAGTACTTCTGTTGGATTCTGACCAATGTGTGCGTGTATGCGAGGTGGTCGGTGGTCAGCTCATCGTGGCAAGCTCTCAGGATCTCCTCGCGAATAGATGTCCGGACGACACGCAAGTGGGTACTTCGACTGGAGAAAAAGTTTTTCTTATATTGCACACCACTGCGCAAGCAGAATGACGGCAGGCTTCTTGCAAATATCCTAGGAACGCTTGTAGACTGGCCGCTAAGCAAATTAATAAGGAAAACTAACTCACAGTCTTCTTTCTGCTTAGACAAAGTTGTGGCCGAGTCGACTATTCATAAAAACACTATGTCATCCTCATCTGGGACATCGCCTTGCTTTATAAGCAATCAGCATCAGAGTGCTGCTGTACCGACTTATATACGACCGTCATATCGAATTCTTGAAGGCGTAAGCTCCAGTGCGCTAGCCGACCAGATCGGTCCTTCGAGTTGGTCAGCCAGAGAGAGTGATGGTCGCTGACTACAAGCAAGGCATGGCCGTAGAGGTATGGGCGAAGCTTCATAACTGCCCATACTAGAGCGAGACATTCCTTTTCTGTTGTGTAACAATTGGCTTCGGCACGGGAAAGCGTCATACTTGCATATGCGATCACTCGCTCGGCTGAGTCTTGCCACTGGACTAGCTCAGCGCATAAGCCTACGTTGCTAGCATTGGTGTGGATCATGATAGGAGCGTCCTCGTCAAAGTGAGCAAGCAGAGGTGTTCTCTGCAGCCACTGCCGTATATTTTCAAATGCTACTTGTTCCTCTTCGCACCATACAAAGGGAACATTGTCTCTCGTTATATGTGTTAAGGGAAACGCTACGTGCGAAAAATTGGTGACAAATCCTGCGCTAGTAGGCGCAGAGGCTAAAAAAACGTCTGACTACCTTCTTATTCGTTGGCGCTACAACTTTGCTGACGGCATCAATCTTGTCGGGGTCCGGGCAAACACTTTCTTGGCTCGCAACATGTACCAAAAACTGGAATTCATTGAAACCAAAATGACATTTCTTAGCTTTCAGCGTCAGGATGGCAGAGCGTATTGCTCGAAATACTAATAGCAACCGTCGTAAGTGTTCCTCGAATGTTGCTGAGAAAACAGTGACATCCTCGAGATATACCAGATATGTCTGCCACTTAAGGCCTGAAATGACGCTATCCATCAGTCTTTGAAATGTTGCTGGAGCTGAGCACAATTCGAAAGGCAAGATTCTAAGCTCGTAAAGCTTGTCAGCCGTTACAAAAGCAGTCTTTTCTCTGTCTTGCTCATCGAGCTTGATTTGACAATATCCGCTTTTCAGGTCCATCGTCGAGAAGAAGCGTGCATGCCTCAGCCTATCAAACGAAGCGTCGATAGGCCTCAATGGGCATACGCCTTTTTTTTGTCACGTGTATCTTTTTGCGGTAGTCTACACAGAAGTGTAAGCTACCATCTTACTTCCTTAACAGCACTACCGGCGATGCCGAAAGGCTTTCTGACAGCTAGATAACGTCATCGTTGAGCATTTTATGAACTTGTTATTACATTGCTTCGCGTTCTTTTGGTGCCACACGGTATTGGTTTTGTCGAATTGATTCGGCCGTCTCTTCCGTTATAATTCAGTGCTTTATCAGTGGTGTTTTATGTACTCTCGAGGTCAATGAGAAACAACCTTCGAACTGGCGGAGACCATATACAAGGCTCTGCCTCTGCGCTGCCAATAAATCTGGCCTCACGTCAACAGGTGGTGGTGCTGAAGCGGCTGGCGTCTCTGCCTGATGCACTGTGAAGCACTCGCGGAATTCTACAATTTCGTCGAAGTATGCAACTGTGGTATTCTCTGTAATGTGGCGACACTCGTTGCAGAAGTTCGCCAACAGGACCTGTGCTTGCACGTACACTACACTGATGAGACTTCTGGCAATAGCGATTCTTCGAGAGAGTAAAAGCGTCAATACTTCTTCCGCGACATCTTCTCCAGTATGCTGCGTGTTACACGTGACAGAGATAAGGCGGCATGATAATGGTGGTATGGTCACGTCGTCAATGACGCGCACGGACTTGCACTGCAGCGCTGTGCTCTGGTCGACTGAGAAGATCAGTACACCGTCCGGTATACTTATGATGGCACCGTACTCACGCAAGAAACCATACCCTAGATGGTTTGCAACCCTGAGAAAGAATAACGAACGTTGCGACGAATGATGAATCAGCGATCTTGATTCTTGCAGTGCACTTTCAGGTAGGCGTCAGTAGCTGGCCTCTATCTTCTTTGATTTGCGGTCCCATCCATTTCAGTCTCACCTTCTTGAGCTTGTCGATAAGATTCACACGTCGTTACCGTCAATTGAAAGTGTAATGTCGACGGTAACACTCCCATCTTTCGTCGATTCCTCCGGAATGTGCGGCTCTTCGTGCGGCGGTAATGGGGGGCTTCCAACTCTTCGGCAATTACAACCTTCCCTCTTAAGCTCGCTGCCTTTAGTTTTAGTTAGTACTTGGAGTTCTTCCTCTCTCTATGCCCATGGTGTTACCTCTATTAGATGCAAAAAAATGACCAGGAGAGGGTGAGTGTGACCAGAACTCAGGAGAAACGCCCCGCAGGATCGTCGTATCGACGTTAAGTCTTTCGTTGTAATAGCACCGAGGGGTAGTTGACGGAAATTTTAGGTATCCGGCGACGCGATAAGGGCAATAGCCAACGACGTGGCCTGCTTGCCCGCAATGGAAGCACAAAGGCGTGTAGTCGGGGGTACGCCAGATGTCGGTTTGAAAGAGTGGTGCTCGCATCAGCGCCGAAGTTTGTAGTACCAAGGAACTATCGACGGCTGTGGCTTGGGGTACTGCTGTGGTGGTAGCCTGTTAGATGGCTGCCGACCGAGAATATCACCATATTTATAGGTTGGTCTAACCGTGTCAGTGTTCCGCTCGGGAAGTGAAAGCGCTTGCTTTATCTCCTGGCGCACAACTTCTGTTACGCAATCGCGCAGTCATTCGGTGTGACGGCGACCTTTTTCACCTCTTCTTGTACAATTTCGCGTATCATTTTATGCAATGAACGCTCGTAAGGTGTCACTGAGGTTACGTCGGTTGCGCGGATTTTTCCGCCGTTGTTTGGGCGGTCGTACTGACTGTAGCGTAGCTGTAGTGCGCGTTCGATGGTGGTCGCCTCCTTCGAAAATTCGTCGACGCTTGATGACGGGCTCCGCACAAGACCAGCAAAGAGCTGCTCCTTAAGACCACGCGTGAGGTGGCTGATCTTTCTGCTTTCGAACATTTCGGGATCTGCTCAATGAAAAAGACGGGCCATGTCCTCAACAAATATAGCAACAGATTCAATTGGCCTTTTAATCCGTGATTCGAGGAGTCACTGGGCATGCTCCCGCCTTTGGGGGTTTGCGAAGGTGTCCAAGAACTTCCGCCAGAACTCACTTAATTACTGCTGCGTCGTACTACTGCAGCGGGACTACTGCTTCCGGGCGTGGTCATGTTTTCTGGCCAAGAACCGAACTTTGGGCTCAGGCTTAACAGGCGGTGGCTGACGCGGTGAACGGGCGTTTTGATGAGCGGAAGTCTTTGTCGACTATATTCGGGGCTGTTGGAAAGTGTCCTGGACGTGGACCTAGCTCCTCCACCAGTGTCACGACGTAGAAACAGCAGAAGACAAATATAGGAGAGCTCAGTTTATGTGCAAGGCACTCGCAAAGACGACCGGGCAAGAACTTCTCAGCAGGTTGAATGCAGCCTTACTCTGCAGGTTGAATGCGGCCATATAACGTTCCCATTAGTGTTTAAGGCGCAAACATTGGCTCAAAATGAATTGCTGTGTCATTTCGCCGTATTTGGAGCTTTATTTTCGAATACGGCTGTCTCAAGTTAGTTTCTGTTTAATAGTTTGCTGACGCTGCAACAACAATGTGATTTTGTTGGCATGTGTATGTGCTGCTGCTAATTATTTTGCTTCTCCTTGCACAGCTTTTTGGATGACTTAGACCGTCTCGGAAAGAAAGAATATATGCCAACAGAACAGGACATTCTACGGACAAGAGTCAAAACGACGGGCATCGTAGAAGTTCACTTTTCCTTTAAGAACTTAAATTTCAAGTAAGTCCCCTTTCTGTGACAATCTGTGATTTAGAATGGTCTTCGCAAGTCGCGTATTGTCTTATACCTTTAGTTCTATATAAGAACATGTCCGTCGCAAATGCTCAAAAGCAGTTTAATTGACTACGGTGGGCTTCATTGAAAAAAAAAAGAACTCTAGCCTTTGAACTTAAATGGGCAGCAATATCACATAGCATTTGGGAATATATGTTGTGATTTATAGGGCATGCCGGTCGGCACAGTCGCGGGCGAAACTCGTCTTTAAACTTCTAAGTGCCCCTAGCACACAAACAGGGTCGTTTTCAGCGTTCCAGATTAAATGCATGTACTTCAGTTGATGATTTTTTTCGTGCCTCCTGAGAGCTCACAAGATGCACTTAACCAAAAAAGAGCCGACATACGCCCCGAAACTTACTATTGCAAGTGACTTAGCTGTAAGTGTCGTTCTGAAATATTCACTCTGTCAGCAATGCTTCTTTTTCTGCTCTCTTCAAAAATCGTGCACCTTGCTGACAATGCCTGATCATTCTCATATACGCCTTTAGTGCAGCGTTAAACCATTGGAGGCTTCATTTTACCTAGTAGTGTGACAAAAGCACTCCGCAGCGGGACAGGATTGGTGCGAGGCTGACGACAGCCTTGAGCAGGTCGTGTCAATACGCATCGAAATGTGCTATAGTTTCTTTGGTGATTATTATTTTCTTCTTCCTCTGTGTCATCTTCGGAAGAACGCCTATTTAGCCGCAGAAGGCATTGCCACTCAGGTGAACCTCGATCGCTCCACAAGGCGACAGGAGGCCGTGATGGGACGCTAAAACCGCCCAGTCATCATAGCGAACCATCGCTGTTCCCGGTCACTGAGTAATGGACTGCAAGATGGCCTTTCGGCGGACCATTAGAAACCATTAGAGAGCGTGTTGAAGCGTCGCATAAAGTGCCACATTGCCCAAAGAGCCACTAGGTTTGCCTATTAATGAGGCGCTGGCCAATCGCCTAATGGTTCATTAGGCAATCAGTTCACACAACCATCCGAGAGAGATATGCAGTCCAGATAAGTCAATGAGTGATCACTTTTGTGGCTTTATGCAGGGGCAGCAACCCAACCTGGTGATTTTGCGATACCTGGCTCCCCGGTATTGCCGCTCGCGATTCACATTTATTTGGGGAGTCGAGAACTGACCAATGTGGTTTTATTCGAAAGGGCACTCTCTAAACCTATTCTAAAACTGCAGTGACTTAGCTCTATGGGCTCGTACTGTCGCCAAGCTGCCTAGAGAAGGCTGAAAACTTCTGGGCTATGTTTCTTGAATTTCAACAAACTTTTTATGTAGTACGTCTCTTTAATGTCAAGAAAATAAGAGATAACCTTACCAAAAACAAGCATCCAGAGGCTGTGGTATATTCTCAATATTCTAAAAATTCCGGCTATTTCAAGAATTTCTGAATGCGTAGCATGAGCGTGTACAAACCGTTTAATAATAATAATAATAATAATAATAATAATAATAATAATAATAATATAATAATAATAATAATAATAATAATAATAATAATAATAATAGTGCAAAATAACAAAACAAAAATATTTGAACAGAAATATTGGGACACTCCCCCCTGTGTACGCGCGATGTTGCAACACGTGATGAAACATGCATAAGAAGAGCGCACTACGCCATTTGCGGTCACTGTGAAGAAGGCTCCCGTGTGGGGAGCCGAAACGTCTTTTTAAGTTTTGTGTATTTCACCTTGGTCGGCGTTTTTCTTTTTGTTATTTTGCACTATGTTTGTCCCCGACCAGACGGGATTCCGTTGGACTTTTCACTATTTAATAATAATAATAATATTAATAATAATAATAATAATAATAAGAAGAAGAAACAATTCATTCAGGAAGTCGAATTAACCATTGTACGCGAGCTTCTCGATCTCTAGCAAGCGTACTTGAAAGTTCTTCCGCTGAATTTTTACTGAAATGCGATAGTTTTATTGTCGCCTGACTTTTTTCCCGCATTTCACCCAATAAGACCACGTGTGGGGTCAAACCCTGCACGGTGGATTGAATCTCGGCTGCGGCGGCTGCATTTCCGATGAAGGCGGAAATGTTGTAGGCCCGTGTGCTCAGATTTTTGTGCACGTTAAAGAACCCCAGGTGGTCGAAATTTCCGTATCCCTCCACTACGGCGTCTCTCATAATCAAATAGTGGTTTTGGGACGTTAAACCCCACAAATCAATCAAGACCACGTGCAGACTTGTGTGCTCCCTAAAGCCCTGAAAAAGGTGTACGAATATTCGCTTAATTCAACACCGTACAAGTGTTGTTGCATGATGCTACAACACCAAGCTGCTACTATTTTCATATCAACGTTTGTTTTCTTCCGTGTCATAAAAATTCGACCCGCTGAATAAGGCCAGTTGGGTGCTAACTGGAATAAACATATATTTACTAATTTACCAAACGATGTGCGACAATGTGAGTTTCTAGTAAAAGGCCGTGACCTGCACAACGTCTCCGGTCAAAGTCCAGGTTGCCTAATAATCACATGCCCCCAAACAAACTAAGCTGGTGCAGTCAGGGTTTCTTTCTTTCTTTCTTTCTTTCTTTCTTTCTTTCTTTCTTTCTTTCTTTCTTTTTTTCTTTCTCTTTTTCTTTCTTTGTTTCTTTCTTTCTTTTCTTTATTCTTTCTCTCCTTCCTTCTTTCTTTTTTTTCTTTTATTCTTTAGGCTGATGCTCTTATCTGCCGCTCTTCCAGATTGTTCGACGTGGGAGGACAGCGGTCCGAACGGAAGAAGTGGATCCACTGCTTTGAAGACGTCACTGCCATAATCTTTTGTGTAGCCATGAGCGAATACGACCAAGTTCTTCACGAAGATGAAACCACCGTAAGTTCATAGCTTGACGTACCTCGGAAGCATTGTGCGTTATATACAGAACGTCCCAATCATGATGGGCTGAATTTTAAAGGAACTGAGGTCTTCTAAGCTGAAGAGAACAATTATGTGTTATTAAGGACAAGCTAATGAAGCGTCTAGTATTCCATTTATGCTTCTAACACGAGTATCTTCTCGTGATAAATACACGTCCTTTTATATAATACCTTTACGTGAAACGTGCTAACACCTGGTGACGTTTGTAGGCTGATATTTTTTGCCTTACTCTTTTTTCTTTGTTGTGTATCTGTCTAAAAGCACTTTGTAGTTCACATTTCGCACATTGGTGCCAATACAGCAAAGTAACCCTGGCCGTAACCATCCACTGACTCATGGTCTTGCTTTGCACAGTATACTGCTGATTTCAATCAAGGAATACGAGCACCAGGCAGGCACATTTGCTTGTATTTGTTCGCGTGACTTGTGAATTCCAGAAAGTCTCTCGGTTGCGTTATAAATTTTAGGGGAAGTTGAAGCATGCAGCAAAAAAAAGAAACCTTTTTGTGCAAAGTCTACTAGTTAATACGGAACGAAATGTTAATTTGAAAGTGAAAAAAAAAAGGTAGCGCAAAAGAGAGATGACGCAAGACTGTGTTGCTGATTGTGTCCCATGCGAAAGTGCATTATACAACGTTATGTGCTAAACTCAATTTAAGTATTTTACATCTCTGCTATGAGTGATTGTTATTCTTTGAAACATTGCAGAATCGCATGCAAGAGTCTCTAAAGTTGTTCGATTCCATCTGCAACAATAAATGGTTCACCGACACATCTATAATCCTTTTTCTCAACAAAAAAGACCTATTCGAAGAGAAAATCAAAAAGTCACCTCTCACCATATGTTTTCCAGAATACACAGGTAAGAGTCACTCATCGAATGGGCTATTTATTTTCTTTTATGTTGTGCCTATATAGCTGATAATCGAAGTGCTTCTGAGTGTCAAGTTTTAGTGGATGGACCAGAGGGGCGGAGTGTATTTTTAGTTGTGAAATTTTTACCTATGTGAGTGCGTTTTACATTGCAAGAGTGTAGAAATGTGGTCCAGTTGGTAGTTCTTATTCGTTCAGAAAACTGGGAGCACGGGAACACACTAGAGACAAAGGAAGAGTGACACAGCGTGAGCGCTCGTGATGTGTGGTTATTACTCTGTCTTTTATATGTTCCCGCGCTCCCAGTTAACTGAATGAATATTCGTTTCACATAGGACCCTAAAGTAGGTCAATATGGCTCTGGCGTGCGTGGTGGGACACGTAGTCGATGTGGGACGGATACCCGAATTGACTGCCACAGGCAGCATGTAGAAGTCATCACTGCAAGTGCGATCTTTCGCTATGATTCCACACAGCAGCGAAAATTTACAAACGTTGTCCGCTTCGTGCATTTGCAGGGTGGCTAAGATCATACACCAAGTTGTAAACTTATAAAGCGGTTTTGTTTGCGCGAAACAAAGTACGGAGTAAATACATGTCCAACTGCCATGTAAAGGCGTGTTACAGGTGTTGCGCGTTTCAGTGTTATCCCTGTGGTTACAGTGACACACCGCGGCGACTATGTCTATTTCTTGTTACGGGTGCCCAAACAAGGCAGAAACTCAGTTGAATATGAAGGCTTGAAAATCGTTTCGACATGGAGTCTTCTCTGCTTCGAGGCTGCAGATCATTTCTCATCTTCTGTTGCTTGCATGCATGTCGGTTTATTTTCAATGGCACTGGCGAAAAAATATTTGTTCAGGTACTGATGGCTCGGGCGTATACGAAATAATCACAAGGACACCGTTGCATGGCGAAGAGACTCTCGGCTTTGTTTTCGGCTGCAGATGCGCAGGAATGTAGAATGTAGGCTGCAGATGCGTTACAAAACCAGCGTTTCAAGGTAGTATCCGCGCAAAAGGCCACGAAGTAATGGCTTGCGACCAGAAAAGCATTTCGCGTGCAGCACTCGTCTTGATGAACAGTGAAGCTCATCGGCAGAGGTCGGCAACACCACCTCTACGATTCTGCGGTCAGTGCCGTCGCGCGCTTCACCATGCTGGTCATTCTGTACATATACCATGGCCACCCTTCCCATCTCGCCCACTGGCAGCACGCTTTTGCTTGTCTTGGCACAAAAATGAGCCTTCATTCCCCCTTTAGAAACATGTGTCAGCTCTTTTCCGACAAAAAAAGTAAAGACATACCCTCGTCCTGCGTAGTATGGCAATATCACTGGTACATCGTAATTATATTTTACTACAAAGATACAAATACATTTTTTCAAGCGTATCTGGATATAAAAATACAGATACTCAAAAGTATTTGTTCAATACTATCACGATACCCTTGTATCGCAATACTGCTTAGCGCTGCTTTTTATGTACTGTGCTTACTCAATGGCTAATGCCTTTTTGCTACTAAGAACGCAAAATTGCGTTACAATGACCCCTCTCCCATTTTTAAAGTTTTGTTTTTAAATAGCCCTATAAGCAACACCATTGAATATATGCACGAATCTAATTCCTCCGAATGAAAGCACAAATTTTTGCAAACAAGCCACACACATTTAGTAGAAATTGTGTGTGTATTATGTGGTGTGCATTAAAGGTGCCTTCCTGGTGAAAGATTCATATGACCGTGCAGCACCAGCCACCAACAGAGCGCCACGCGGATCGATCCCGTTCTCCTCACGACAGCGACTGTGGTGGCACCTATCGTTTCTATGTGGAACTATCGCTGAAGCTTTCTCGCCCTTCACACACACACAATAAAAAGTACTGAATGAACTTGGCAAAACCTTTCTGCTACATCGTATTGCATCCTAAAGCGTATACCTTGTGAGGCAGTTTCATAGTTTATATTAATGTGTCACTCAGTTCTGTCGTATGTCAATGAAACAAAACGATTCTCTTCGCACCAAGAGTGGTGAAATATGCACCAACGAAAACTTCTTGGGAGCGAAATCGTAGGTAGGTTTTCTTCATATGCTAGAGCGAAGAACTAGGCTTAAACAGTCCATCGTAACCACGCGAAACAGAATGCTGGGTGTTTTGAAAAAAATTCAAGTTCCCGTGTGAGTTACACGACCTGGGCGTCTTGTATGAAAAATAACCATTGGTTACAAAAAAAAAAAAGAACGCCTGTAGTCACTTCACTGCCAGGTAACCCTGCCTAGCGCTGCGACTATGAACGTCCTTTAGCGCCGAGAAAGTTGCTGCCTGCTTTGCTTAACGTACATACTGTCACACGTACAACGATATAGGTAAACTTCGATGTTGGTTTTTTTTTTCAATGAAGAACTGGCCTAATTATGTTACCACTGTAACCAAATTAGGTTCCTATAACGATAGCCACCCACTCCGTGGTGAAAAAGACTTGTCTAATAGGCTATTGTCCAAAATACGAATAACGTTAATTCAATAGTGCCTGCGTGTATAGTGCCTATATGTATGCAGGTGTTTGTTTATAATAAGCACTGCTGTCTGTGTGCGGAAGCTGCGGCGCAGTGTGGTGGTGACAGGAGCCGCACATTGGATATTCAAAGTTCCAATAAGAGGAGTGGCGCTGTTTTGGAAGCCTATAACCAGAGGTAGGGATGTCTGGTACGAAGCTGGCTAAACAAATGAGTTCTTGTGGGTGACCACGCGAGCTCGTAGCCATGCTCATTGAAGCACTGTTGTAGCCAACGTGGCTGCTTATGTAGGCACGCCTTCACATCCGCAGTAATTAAACGAGGCATGACTTTGTGCCATCTGCAATCATCTTTGGCTTCGACATGTCAGTATTGAGTACAAGAGAGTTTAGTTTAAGTAGTGGCTTATGTCGTTGCTTTAAAAAGCAATGGTTTCACCAACTTGAACCTTCATGAACTGTGTATCGTAAAGACGGGGGATCGACGATCACACGGAGAACCACAAACAAAATACTTTATTAGTATCTGAAGTGACAACAACGTCTTCTTCGTCCCTGTGCTGCACCAATAGCGCTCACGCTGCTTCATTGTCGCCATTGGCACATACACGTGGCATCATTCCTGCCACGAAAAAAAAAACATAATCCCTATAATAAATGTTAAGAAAGCAAGGTAGAAAAAAAACAAATAACAAAAAAGGCGCAGTAGTCGCAGAGTATGGCTTCATCCTAAGTAGCTAACGTAGTTGCTTGGGTGAGTCGGTACGATATGATTCACAGAAAAAACAGTGCCAATAACGAGAGACAAGAAAAGTAAGGAGACAGACAGCGGTACTGCCTTATAACAAAATTTATTTGCTGGAACCTCGTGATATATTCTTGAGCAGTATTTGACAAATAAGAAAAATTGACAAATCAAAGAAAACAGAATTCACCTAACAACCGAATAATCATCGTGATAACGCACCATGAACATTTCGTGTGCCAACGTTCTGGAGAAAATCTATTTCTTTTTGTGATAGAGCTATCTAAGGCCTGCTGACACATGCACTGCCCAGCTTTTCAATTTCTGCAGCCTCAATTTCGCGTATAATCTGGCGCTGTTCTTTATGTGAATTTATCCTAAGCACGTGAGCCAATTTTGGTAAATGTCTTTAATGTTTCGAACACACTGAGAGCCGTCCGAAACAATTTCATGTGGCGTTATTGAAGTGTCGGAGAACTTTATAAAGCCCCAAGTATCTTCGCAAGAGCTTTTCATAGAGCGCACGCCGGTGAATAGGCATCCAGACCTACTCTTTGTGGCCCACGTTTTATATGACGACTCTATCTGAGATTGTAGTATCTGGCACCATAGCCTTGTTATTTGGAGATTCCCAACCGGGCAACTTACGTATAGTCTCTATTGCTTAATGTGCATACATACTCTTCAGCGTCCATCTCATTGCCATCATTTTGGTGACAGAGCATCGCGTCTAACGTTGTTACTTCATGGTCGTAAACGAGGCTGAAGGGTGTCTTCTGAGTTAGTATCCTCAGGAGCCGTGTCATACGGCATTGTGATGTTCGGTAATTGATTGATTCATTGATTAGAATGCTGGTTTTGACGTCCCAAAACCACGATATGATTATCATAGACGGCGTAGTGGAGGGCTCCTAAAATTTCGACCACCTGGGGTTTTTTAACACTGGCCTATACAGCATTTCTGCCTCCATCGAAAATTTCGCCGCCGCAACCGGAATTCAATCCCGTGACCTGACGGTCAGCAGCCTAGTACTGCAGTCACTAGACCGTTACGCAGGGTAAAATGTCGTCCCAACATGCATAGACGCCAGTAGACTGTTCCCGAGAGGAATAATAACCTCTTTGGACCTTCATATTTCCCTTCGCTTCCAAGAAAATAAATTGAAAGCACTTTTCCGCAGCAGATTAGAGGATCAGTTAGGTTCATATGCTTGAGCGTCGCAGCATTCACATTGCAGTGTCATGCGGCGAGACAAAGCAATGCTTGCTTAGCAACTGCGAATATGTCCATGAAACTCTAGAGCTAGCGCACTTTGATCCAGGTCGCGCAGAATTCTCAAGCATGTAGCGAGTGACACGAATCTACCGCTGCCAGCGTTTCTGCACATGTGCGAATTTGGTTCGAAGAATGGGCACACGCACTGTGCTGGTGATCAGCATGGTGCTGCCACGTATACTTTTTCGAGTGTTCACCTCACGTCTGTGTACCTGTGTTAAGGGTCATTAACCACGTTCCACTCTCAGTGGCGCAGAAGTGTGTGCAGCCTCATTATATGGTCAATCGTGAGGCATGGTGTCATAAGTGCGAGGGTACTTATTTGTGTAATCAGGGCAAAAAGTATGCAGTTATTTTGAGAAAAGTGCGGGGTCAATGCTGGACTACCATTTCGTGACTATAAAAAAGTTTCACCATGCACAAATCGAAGAGCACTTTACGTTTCGTTTCCATGTTCTGGGTCCATGAGTGCCGTGCTCGACGTACCTCATATGGTCTTCGTGCTCCAGAAGGGACAGTTGCGCGAAGGAGTAACGTGCGGATGACTATCACGATTTTCGCCAGATAAAATCATACGTCACCGATAAGAACGAGCTGCAGGTGGCGAAAAATTAAAGCAAGGACAAGAGCAGGTGTCTTTTCCGGCGGGCACTCCTTCGCAGTAACATTTGTTTCTATTATCTTGTTATTGTATGTTTCCTGTGGCGAAAGTTGTCTCTCTGATAGCTTTGTCACTGTCTGAAGCGTCCTGCGTGATTGGCAGCTGGTAATAAGAAGATATATTTTGCTTAGGCTACGCCGTGTATATTCGGGAAATACAGCGTCATTTGTATACCAGGCGTAGTATGAGAAATGTACATCTTTTAGTAATAATAAATAACAATGGTCCCAACTCTTGTGCTATATATAGAGCAACATTCGAGACAGGGTCACTAATGCAGAGGACCGCTGATTCCTGTTGACTTAGATCTGCTGCAATGCGCTTTTCACCTTCTGTGTGGCGTGCAGATGCATGCGATCACAGTAAAAAGAGCGCTGTCATTAAACGTATAACGTAGAGTCCATGCAGGTGATGGAGCGTCCGATTTCGCTTGCACTTTAGTTGGTGTAGTGTCATAAAACAAATATACTTTTGGTGTAAATATCGTCTTCTGTCTGGTGTTGGATTGCATAGTTTTTGAGGTAGGCAAAAAGACGCATTAGTTGTTGCTAGACCACTAGTGAACTAAACTTCTAGAATATCAGCGATAAGGATTGAGGTAGTTCGGCTGTTGCATGCGTATATTTGAAGTTGTTCCGTGATGATGCCAGTGGAATAATCCTGAGCGACGCGTCTTAATTTACACAGTCTCGAGGGACTCAAACTGACTGGGCCAGCATTGAGGGCCGCTAACGCTCACACGACGCCATGATTTGACGAAGAGTTCACGACTGCCGACGTAGAGCGAGGACCAACTGGACGTGTGTTTGTGCAGGTGCCCAGGAGTACGGGGAGGCGGCCGCCTACATCCAGGCGCAGTTCGAAGCCAAGAACAAATCTACCACCAAGGAGATCTACTGCCACATGACCTGTGCCACGGACACGACCAACATCCAGTTTGTGTTCGACGCGGTCACGGATGTCATCATTGCCAACAACCTTCGCGGCTGCGGACTCTACTGAGCGGCGGCGGCGGCTCAGCCGAGGCCGCTGGTGCCTCCCGCGTGGCCGACCCGAACTGGAGGCCTGCTCACTCGACAGCAGCCAAGTTGCATGTTGATTTCCCTTCCCTTGCATTTCGTGATACTCCTGCCGCCACTTTGGCCGCGGACTAAGGACTCGTGAATGTGTTTCTCCCCCTTTTTGCGCTGGTCGGGAAGGTATGCAACCTTTTTGCTTTCTCCGCAAGGGGCCTCCCCGCCTTCTTTTTCCACTGTTGCTGTTGGTGGTGACGTTGCCGAGGCGTCCGCTGTTCACTTCGCGGGCTACCCGCTGCCAGCGGCCAACACCACCCTCCTTACATCCTGAGGAGGACGACACCAACACCCAAGAGAGGGAGCTGCAGCAGCGCACATACACCGGGACGAGAGAGGGCTCCTTGGGACATTTTGGTCCGCGTTATATGTACACATATATATCCGTATAGTTGCGTATATTTATATATATGTACATATATAAGCGTATATGTATGTATATATAAACACATGTATGTGTGGCAACGTCTCAGCACAGAGACGTCCAAAGGGCAGCGGCTTGCGGGCGGATCGGGGCAGCAAATTCTCCTTTCGTTTCTGCCAAGATAGCCTAGTCGGGTAGACACACGATATCTTGCACCAGCGCTTCTCTGCCAACCTGGTTCATGTTTGTCTGGGGTGGTGGAAGGGTGGCGAGGAGACCCCAAAGTGATGTAACATATACTACATAGGGACACGGGGAGGGTAAATGTTTCGTTTTTTAAAAGCACGGTTCTTTCGCCCTCGTAGCGCGCCGAGACCGCTCGTCGATGAGCGATCCCGCCTCGGGAGAGGTACGAACAAACAACAAGAAAAAGGAACCAAAGGCAACAACACAAAAGGCAAAGTTTGGGCGCGCTCACGGGTCAGGAGCAGCGCGGGGGTGGAGTGTGAAGGGCTCGGCCCCCCGTGCGTGAGCGACGCGCGGAAGGGACCGCCCCTTTAGCTGTAGGCTACGTGGAGAAGGTGAGACTATAAATATATACATAATTCTATACTATAATAAGTATATGTGTACCATGTGAGAGTGCAGGAAGCAAGCCTGTTTCAGTCCTGTTTTGAGAGTGCTTACTCAATAAAAAGTGACGCATGTTCTTTGACGCCCTCCCCTCATCCGACCCCCATACCTGACGGCTATGTGGAGAGGACCCCCATCCATAAGAGGTGACAACATTCTGCTTTCGCTGCTCCCTTGGTACGCCTGCTGCTTATCCGCCACGGGTGGCGGGCGCCCTCTTTTCCTTCGGTTCTCTTGGAAAGGACTCACCCTTTCATCCGCGTAGTGATTCAAAGTGGTTCAAGTTCAAAAACTAGCCCCACAAGCAAATGAGAGCTGCCCGGCAGTCGGTGTCTGCTCCTGCTCCGTAGACGCACATCCGACTTCGCTTTATTTTCTCTCGTTGCAAGTCTGCCGGGTTCCTCGCTTAGCCATTCTCACTTGCATTCTTCTGTTGCGCTCTGGCACCCGGAGAAGTGACGATTGCTCAGGTACTGTACTCAACATTAGCTGCCAGTGATGCGGCGGCGCCTGGACGTCATCCAGAAGCTGCCGGGTCACCAACCCAAGAGCAGTATTTCAGTGGCTGCATTCGCGGCCCTGTGCTCGAGCTCCATCTTCCTCCGTAGAGTCAGCTACTAGTTTCGAGCTGTGGTCATGAGGGTACCCTCATCGCTGCCTTGGTTCTCATTTCTGTTCTCTTCCGAGCTTGGAATGCCGAGCGCAATTGTGACGTGGCCCCTACCGCGGCCTCTCGTAGCCCGGAAGCTGCCGAGGCATGTGCTCCAGAGTAATTAGTTTGTTTTCTTCTTTCCCTCCGAGCACTCGAGTTACATGCGACAGCGTGGTGGCGTAGCTTGTGCTAACAGGCGTGCCGCCTTAGAAGTAGAGGGCGCTGTTACTCCTAAATGTTCATTCCTGTTTTCTTTCTCGCTATGCAAAGGGTCTTCTGAGCGGTACCGGTGTCGCTCACTACCGTTTGCAATTCGCTCTTCCAAACGTTCGCCGAAAACCCCGTGAGAAGAATCGCCGTGGTATCCCCGCCAATCGACGGACTAGCGGTGGCCAAAATCCTATAGTGAACACAAGGCCATCGTACGTGTTTCCTGGAAGCCCAAAAAAATCACAACTGATTTTGGCCTCTGTTGTCGCTGGAGGAGGCAAGAAGCATTTTTGAACCGTGCACGTCTACGTTGTGTTTGTAGGGAGGTGCCACACAGCCGCCTGTCGGCAACAGAGGTTGAGCCGGCAATGCGGTGAAGAATTGAAACTGTGCCGCGACAACGCTCAGGTGCCATGCTGCTAAACTCACTCGCCGCATATTTGCCGCGAAGGAGAGCGCACCACCGGTTAGGCGTGCCGTGCGAGACCACCCTGTGCGTCATTTGTTTTGCTGTTTTGTTTTTGTTCTCTGGCAACTCTGGCACAACAGACACATTCCTCGTCGCATCTGGATCATGCCACGCCATCTTGCATACTCACGCTTCGTTCTCAATGCGCCTCACACGTGGATGTGGACGGCTTCAGCAGCATTGCTTTCTTTTCTTTGGGAATGTGAAAGTCACAGTCCCTAGATCTCCTCTGGTCCGAGTGCGCTGCATATCTCGTTTCTGCCAGGCCACCTCTGCATCGCGAGCGTTGTGGCTGAAGCAACCAAGTGCGTGGCCGTCCTCACGACCACAGCTTGCGTCTTTGATTCTTTGTCTCAGGACATTAAAAAACACACAAAGAAAACATGCGGTGTTAATGCTCTTTCCTCTAAGTATAGGCTGATGTTTATTTTTTTTCTTCGTAGGTGCCGTACCATTAAGCCATCACTGGACTTGTTGATAATTTCATTTATTGAATTTCTTGTTTTGAGGCTATCGCAGTTAGCTCGGAACGCCATTTTGGGACGCGAACACTGTGTCGCACATTGTCTTCTTGTCAGCTTTGACGCCACTGGGAGGGAGTGCTAGGAAGTGCAATTGCGTGGTCAAATGCGGCAACGCAAGTGTAGATGTATTACGAGTGCTGACTTTTTGTGCAAGAATAATGCCTCATCTTTCAGCCAGATAACTTCAGAGTGTGTGACAGCTGTACGCGTTTGTAACCAGACGGATGGCACTAGCTGCACGCCAATATTAAGACGTGCTTTCGTAGAGACCTAACTAAAAACAAACTATCTGAATGGCACGAGTACAAAAATCTGAAACACAACATGCTTAATGCGTGGGTTAAATTCACTATGTAATAGCAACTTGTTGTGTCCTGTTTGTGCTGCTGCGTATTGCCCGGTTCTGTTAATTAGTGAGCTCTGTGTAAATTAATGATTGTGCGTTCTATCTTTGGACACAATTTATTTTCCTGTAAACTGTGTGGCCAGTTGGCAAACGCGTCTGTTTAAGAGACTGAGTGTTACTGGTATGAGGTAACATTCCAGTAGGATTGCCTGGCTGGTAATCAACATGAAGTTTTCTCAAGACACGGAGTGAGCATCCAGCTGTTGCTCGGTGCCGGAGAGCTACAGCGAATTGTGTTCCGGTGTGGTGCACGTTTTTCCGTCGGCTAGGACTAGTCATTTTTTTTTCGCGCATGTACAGCGGCACGCGGCGGTCAGCGCGTACTGCGCTGGAACATCAAATCAAATTCGCCGTAATCTTCCTGCATACTTCAGCAACTGAATGCGAGAAAATTTATTGGGTTGAGCACACGAGAAGGTAATTTCCACGGCTCGATATCAATTGGCCGTGCTCCTCTTGAGCGAGTCATCTTTTGCTTTCGAGGCCGTAGCTTCTCAAAGTGCCTGTTCAGCGGAATGTATACAGTTTGTGACCAGAGACTATCCAGGGCTTGTGACTACACCCTTGGCAATGCACTTGGTTGCTTGAGTTGTTATTTTTGTTATTGTTGTTGTTGTTAATTTTGCGGCTGGATGAACGGATAACACGGTTCCGCTGGCAACCTTCCATTTGGGCTCTTTGAGGCTCTTGGGACCAGGGGCCTGATTGCGGCGTGGTAAGACTGCGTTGATTGTTGCGTTTCAGCGATCATTTGTTTTCGTTATTCTGTGTTACGTTTCTGGGTGCGTGCATCCTATCACGTGCTCGTCACATTTGCCCCGATGCAAACCTCGCTTATTTACACATTTATTTTTCATCTATGTGTTTTATTCTTTTTTTTTTCTCGTCAGTCGAACTATCGGGGGTATGAACTTTAGACAGGTGGGTTGAGCCAGCATGATGTGTCGTTCTTAATCTGTCATTTTTATCCAAGTCAGCAAGCATTTGGAGTAAGCAGTTGAAATAAAGTGCATTCAAATCATTTGTTTTGCGGTGACTGCAAACCACACACAAGAAAGTTATCAGTTTCTATTCTTTTTGTTGTGTATGCAGTATCTGCAATTTTATGCCCAATGAATAAAATTCCTTCGTCGTGTGTTCCTCGTAATGTGCTGATTTCAGCCTTGAGGGCAAGAACGAAGCGCCACGTTTGCTCTTCGCTCATGACCTCATCGCGAACCATCAGCTGTTGCGCAGCCCCACTTTGTCTTCTAAGGCGTTTCTACGTCCACACATGCTCAAGCGCTGCCGCAGTCATCGCACCCGCAGGCTGTGACGTCAGTGGCGTATGCGGACGCGATGACAAACATCGAGTGTCGAATGTTTTTTTTTTTTTTCTGCGTACGCGGGTCTGGAAAAAAGACCACAATTACGAATAACAAGGGCCTTATTTTTTTTTCTCCACAGCACAATTTCTTTCTTCAAATGGACTAAAGGAAGCTGTGATTGCGTCGCAAGAAGCGTACATACGCCTATAAAAGAGGCATTGGCCTATAACACTGCACGTTTTTTTTTAACTGTCACAAGAAATAATGGTTCAGAAATGTCAAGTAAGCCCAGAACAATGCCACGCAAGAAAATAGCGCATTCTGTTTCTTAAAGCTTCGCGAGGCCGTATCGTGCAATTTTATTGAATCCCCGTATCTCGCTTGTCGTGGCTTTTTTTAAATTAAAATTTGTTGAGCGGAATTTGAGCTATTCAGAAAGTTAATATTCACAGCGTGTACGCTTAATAATTATTCATGACATAACATTAAAAGGGTCTCTCTAAGACATTTCACCTCTCTTTTTTTTGTATATATCGGGCCAAATCATGTATTCATTGGAACACAAGATTGTCAATACGCGCATTCGGAGGCACAAGTAGTGTTATTGTAAACAAATATTTTTTTGCAAGATCAAGTCGTGGTTAGCTTTGTTGCATTATCGGTGTTCAACTGAACAGTAGACTGCATTCCTGAGCAGTTTTCGCGTTACAGCTCAAGTGAAACAGTAAATAAATGCGAAAAATATGTTGAAAAAAACTCACGGGAGAGTGCACGCCTGGTGATCACAGTGTAAAGTAACAAGACTCACACATCGTTCTTCTATACCTTTAGATGGTGTAAAGCCCATTTTCACAGCAACCACATTGAGAGCAGCATGAGCGCTGAGTACGTAATACCCCGAATTCCTACAGAATTTGCGGCGTTTTGTCGGTGCTCTTTTGCGACAACGCTGAAGATGGAAACTGTACCACGTTCATCGGAAAATCGAGAATGAAAAGACGCAAATATGCCGAGGAGTTCATAGTTTCGGAAGGCAATCCTTAGCGTGTCCGCGGCACAATTGCCACTCACAGAATTAATGCGTGATGGTTGCGCAGTGGGTCGGAGAAACCCTGGGCAGTGAGAAAGTTTTTTCTTAAAGTGCACCGGCCCGAATGAAGGCGGCTGCTTCACTTGTCTTGTGGTCAGCTGGGATTACAATCTTTCTTCAGCAGCTGTGAAAAAAAAATCATGAGAAAAATCACAAGAACAGTCACCTCCTTAGGTCAAAAAGTTGACAAACAAACGATGCAGTGGCAATGAAGGAACAAGTGGCCCAAAAATCACCGGTGCTACGCGGAGCTGACGCTACGCGAGGCTGTTTTTTTTTCAGCAGCGGAATACGTGACGCCTCACTGATAAAAATAGTAGAGATGCAAAGGCTGAAATATAACACAAGCCTTGGGCTTCATCTTTACAGTTTTACCAGCTTAGAAGCACCGTTCGTTTATTTCGCTTACGAGTGATTGAAACAAATTTATTGACGATCCGGCATATAGGGGGGAAAGGGTAGGGAAAATGAAGCGAGACACTAGCGTGCTCGGACGTCTCGGAGCAGCAACCTGCCCACATTAAAAAATTTCACGTCACAAGAAAGGGGCCATTCTATTTGAACAACCTGTGTGAAGTGATTTTATCAGTAAATTAGTGGATCACTTCCAAAGTTATCCGCCAAATAAGCATCCTCCTTCTTTAAAATCTGCAATAATGTTTGTTTGAATATGATTATTGTTTGAAATAAATAAAATGGCACTCATAATTATCGAGTTCACCTATTGCATACAAAAGTTCTAGAGCTAGTTGTAGTCACAAAGTATGGCATAAACTTGCACAACTTACTCGTTTACCTGCAATAAAGATATTAAAGAGGCCCTGAACCACCAGTTTTCGTAGTCTTCAGAGGGTATTTAGATCGAAATGAGGCACCCCCTCCTATCCCCCTCCCCGAAACATAGTTCCGACATTAAAAGCACAAACATACGAAAAACTCAGTTGGAGCGGAGATACTGAGAGTGAAATTTCACAACCCCCCCCTCAGTAATTTCTTTTCCAAAGAAACAGTGGTACCCTACCTATGGCATTTCTTTTCATAATATCTCGCTGACATTCCGCATTTTTTTTATAAAACTGAATATGAGCATTTTCTACTTACAACTCAAGCAGTTACGGCAGGAAGAGGTGGAGTAGTCCCAACATTGAATACCTGCTTCCTGTTGAGTACCGGCTAGTGGCAGCTCTCTTAACGGAATGCGCCAGACATTGTCAGAAGATAGCCGCAGGCAACTGCCCCATAGCTATTGCATTCAGGTGGCCTCTCTTGGAAGAATAAGGCTTCTGTGAAGATGGCTGAATTCGTGCTGCACATGCACGCAAAAAAAAAAAGCTGAACCTGCCCCGGTAGTTAGGATGATCGACGGCAGCTGACCGGAAGACCATAGTTTGATGGAGGTGAAATGCTGGAGGAGCGTGTACCAAGATTAGGAGCCCGTTAAAGAACACCAGATAGCCAATATTTCACGGCATCCTTCATAATCCAGTTGTGGTTTTTGGAAGTCAGACCACAACAGTGCGCTGGCGGATAAATAAAGGCAAGTATTGCTCACACGTGCTCTCCTTATAACGAGCACGTTATTCTTCGTAGTGCATCTGGATAGGTGTTGTCTTGCTGCAGAATGGTAGCGCTAAGTGCCCTTTTAACATAATGAGAAGGAAGGTCCGACAAATCGGGGCCTGTAGCACCTTACACTCTGCAATTTATTATTATAAAGCTTTATCAATTCTTCGCTGCTTGTTTTAACCACTTTCTGGATCCATTCTGGTAGACTACGTGCGAGTGAGGTGTCACTGCTGCAGCAGCATCGCCGTCTTCTTTTCAACTAACCTGTTATGCGAAGTATTCGTTCTTGCTTAACTGATTTCCGATCCTCGTTACAATAGCTTGGTAATACTAGGACAACTTGGACTATTATGTAACCCCTCTCTTAAGGTATGTGTCGGTGGCAGCGGCACTAAGACAGTTCACAAGATTACACGATGCAGCACATTCATTGGGGTGAATTTCCTGCTGAGGAAGTGAGCTCAGACATACTCAAATAAGCAGCACTACTCAACTCCACAGTCTTTCGTTTGCTCACGACGTTATGCGGTTGGCACGTGTTTGTGCACCAACCGATTACCCGATCTGGCCGCTCAGTAGCCAGTATTCTTACATGTTCATAGCGTGTGTTCATCTGTTGCCGCAGCCACTCATTTTCAAGGGTCAATTTTGTGAACTGAATTTATAATAAATAACATAATTGTAAATATATAACAGGAAGTCGTGTCAATAGGAAAAGAGCTAAATTCGTATCACTGGCATGATTTAATTATGTTCATATATCTTAATCAATCGGGCCACCGATATTCTCACTGTTGTATCAGACGAAAACGCCACTTTCGCAGCTATAGTCAACAGTCACCTACGATAAATATCCCGATCAATTGATAAATATGTGCCAACGCACCTAAAGAGAAAAAAAGAACATCGAAGCGCAGGAACACGCATGCATGAAGTCTCATGCTCAGACGCACGTGCGTGTGTACCCACAGCTTGTCCCAATACCAACCATTAAGCTCTGCTTATAGAAACACTGACGCACCTATCAGCCATCTGTGTCACAGCAACACAATGCAAATCTATAGGTTCACTTGGGGGCAGTGGTTACTTGCTAGAGACACCACGCATGCGCAGAACATGCTTTTCTTCGGGCACGCTCTGCTGGCGAGTGGCTGCGTGTCTGCCGTTCGGAATTATTCAGTGAGGCACTATAGAATAACAGCAAGTAACTTAATCATTAGGCAACTATTTTCAAATCGCCTTCAATGGTTTTAAAAACACGAGCTCTTGGCACATATGATGCAGATTTACATCGTAGAAAAACACGTACAATGGTGGTAGTGTTCACCATACTCATCACCTATCACTTTGGCAGCCCCGCCGCGGTGGTCTAGTGGCTAAGGTACTCGGCTGCTGACCTGCAGGGCGCGGGTTCGAATCCCGGCTGCGGCGGCTGCATTTCCGATGGAGGCGGAAATGTTGTAGGCCCGTGTGCTCAGATTTGGGGGCACGTTAAAGAACCCCAGGTGGTCTAAATTTCCGGAGCCCTCCACTACGGTGTCTCTCATAATCATATAGTGGTTTTGGGACGTTAAACCCCACATATCAATCTATCACTTTGGCATTTATGGTTTTCAGGCAGGGCTATATTCAACAATTCTATATATTACGCTGACAAAGGGACACCACATGCATAATTTGTGCATTATTCAATAATTGATTGATATGTGTGGTTTAATGTCCCCAAACCACCTTATGATTAGGAGAGACGCCGTAGTAGATGGCTCCGGAAATTGCGACCACCTGGGGTTCTTTAACGTGCACCGAAATCCGAGCACACGGGCCTACAACATTTCCGCCTCCATTGGAAATGCAGCCGCCGCAGCCGGGTTTCGAACCCGCTATCTGTGGGTCAGCCTTAGCCACTGGATCACCGCGGCGGGGCGTGCATTATTTAATGTGACTATGTTTACTAACCTGTGTTAAGACCTGCTGATTATTTCGGCAGCTCGCTCTGCAAGCAGCATCACAACAGAGTGCGGTGTACTTGACAGTGCAAATGGTATGACCGATGCATCGACGACACGTAATCGCTCCACGCCTCTCACCCTGCAAAAAAATCGACATATTAAGCTTTACGAGCGAGAGAAAGATATAGAGGGGAAGACGAATAGATTAACCAGATATTAGCATCCGGCTTTTTACTACGCACTGGAATGGGGAAATAAGGGATCTTGCTACCCCGCACGGTGGGTCAGAAAGAGGGCTTAGAGAGAGCGAAAAATTATGGTTGATTTCGGCGTCATAGCTATCGGTATAACACAAAAAATATGTCTTTGCAGAAGTAGCTCACCGTTTGTAGTACATCGAAGTAAGAGAGTTTTCACAATATATATTCTGATTTAGAATATAGAGCATGCTTTAACGTGGATTCCCCACGTTGAGGCTCCGTGGTACATCTCCATCCCGACGACTAACGTCCATGATCAATGAATAAACAAGTTCTGAGGTGTGGTGGTTAACAGCGAGGACGTAATCCGAGAAATTGGTGGGGCAGCCAGAAGAACGTTGTAAACTGGACGCTGAACTTGGAAACCTAAATCGCCATATCATCATAATCATCATCATCATCATCATCATCATCATCATCATCATCATCAGCCTGACTACGTCCTCTGCAGGACAAAGGCCTCTTCCTGGTTCCGCCAGTTAACCTGGTCCTGTGCTTGCTGCTGCCAATTTATACCCGCAAACTTCTTAATTTCATCTGCCCACCTAACCTTCTGTCTCCCCCTAACCCGCTTACATTCTCTGGGAATCCAGTTAGTTACCCTTAATGACCAGCGGTTATCCTGTCTACGCGCTACATGCCCGGCCCATGTCCATTTCCTCTTCTTGATTTCAGCTATGATATCCTTAACGCCCGTTTGTTCCCTAATCCATTCTGCTCTCTTCTTGTCTCTCAAGGTTACACCTACCATTTTTCTTTCCATTGCTCGCTGCGTCGGCCTCAATGTAAGTTGAACCCTCTTTGTAAGTCTCCAGGTTTCTGCTCCATAGCTAAGTACCGGCAAGATACAGCTGTTATATACCTTCCTCCTGAGGGACAGTGGCAATCTACCTGTCATAATTTGAGAGTGCTTGCCGAATGTGCTCCACCCCATTCTTATTCTTCTATTTACTTCAATCTCGTGGTTAGGCTCAGCGGTTATTACCTGCCCTAAGTAGACATAGTCTTTTACAACTTCAAGTGCCCTATTACCTATCTCGAAGAGCTGCTTCTTTCCGAGGTTGTTGTACATTACTTTCGTTTTCTGCAGATTAATTTTAAGACCCACCTTTCTGCTCTCCTTGTCTAACTCCGTAATCATGAGTTGCAATTCGTCCCCTGAGTTACTCTGCAATGCAATGTCATCGGCAAAGCGCAGGTTACTAAGGTACCCGCCATTAACTCTTATCCCTAACTGTTCCCATTCTAGGCTTCTGAAAACCTCCTGTAAGCACGCGGTAAAAATCATTGGGGAGATTGTGTCCCCCTGCCTTACACCCTTCTTGATTGGTATTCTGTTGCTTTCTTTATGAAGCACTATTGTAGCAGTTGATCCCCTGTAGATTTATTCCAGGATGATTATATATATAATCGCCATATCACGGAATGTTAAAGAGTGAGTGAACGCCACGGCTTGACTAAAATAAAACGCAATATGCGTCGTGTCTCCCACTGAAGACCAGCAGTGATTGATTACGAGGTGAGCGTAAGCAGAGAATGTTGTTTTACAGGCACGCGAAACAGGCGAACGTCGCAGAGCTATCTTTGGTGTCGATCGATGCTATGAGTAAAGCCAACGCAGCGGCTAAGGTCACCACCTTGCAGTGTTGTTGTTGACGAAATTTAAGTTCTACTGAAAACACGCTGAATGAGATGGATCAGGAGCAACAACGTGTTTAAGGAGCTAATTGCGGAGGCCACGGTAATGATTCAATACGTCGATTTACCGCTCCAGAGGGCAACACCACCCCACCGTCCAAGAGCACTGTCAGAGGAAAGTGTGAGTTATAACGGGCGCGTTTGTCAAAGCCACCAATGCGTGTGACCGTGGCGCAGTGGATATATTGGACCCGGCATTTCTTGTTTCGGACTCAATTGCCGTGAGTTCGACGCGTGTTGACATGATTTTCTTTTCCTTGCCTTTTGACCCTGTGCAATTTTTCTACGTCATTTCCGGAACAGAAATACGTCCCTGAATTCTGCTGGGTTGAGCCCAGCATAAAACACTCTCGTGTTACGAAAAAAAAAATGGACGCGCGTGCCCACAGACGCTCTTTGTTTCTGCACACACACACACACACACACACACACACACACCACACACACACACACACACACACACACACACACACACACACACACACACACACACACACACACACACACACACACACACACACAGGCACACGCACACGCACACGCACACATACGCACGCACACGCACACATACGCACGCACACGCACACATACGCACGCACACACACACACACACACACACACACACACACACACACACACACACGCGCGCGCGCGCGCGCGCATCACACATGCAGACAGATAGACAGGCAGACAGACAGAGACAGGAAAACCACTCTGATTATAGTCTTTCAGGAAGGCCGGCTGCTCACAAGAGATCTTATAGCAAACTTCAACATTTTAGGCAGACATATATTCCAAATGACAGCTTAGCCTGCTGTATAATTTTATTAGCAAGAGATTAAAAGGTATCTGCTGAAACGAGTGTGTTGTGTATACGTCAAAGATATATTTTGTTCGCTTATATTTATTCGAGATTTTCCCATTCCTTCAGCTAGGTTGAATGATATCCGTCAGAATTACAGAAAAATACACCAGTGAAATAGTAAGTTCACGTCAAATATGACTTGTCAGTCCTTTATGATGACAAAAAAAAAGGAGGTCGATGTTATGGGTAAATTTTTTTTAATATCTAAGAGCTGCCTGTTATGGCCCTGTCGCCTTCACAACATGTATAACCTCACAAGTGGATGGTATCTATTTCCTCTTTTAAGTAATCACAGCAAATTAATTTTTGATAATACAGGCCCAAGTGGCTAAACTTTATTTTCGAATCTATGACATACAGAGGGTATCACCTAAATTGAAACAAGGCAATTTCAAAAGTGGTTCATCGCAGCTAAGTAAAACTCCCACCATATGATGTGTTACCAGTAGCGCTTTTCAATATGTTTGTTGCAATGAACTTGACACTTAGTTAGGTAAATTTTTAAAAATCGTAATGTCTTTTTAAGGCTAGGTATGTTTCATTACGTTGCAAAGGGTAATCCTAAACGGCCAGTCGAGCTTTTTGCTTCCACTTGCACACTTTATAGTGACTGTTTCTTTTTTGGGTTTTAAAATAACTTTTGAAATATGAAATAAAAGCACGTGAGCTCGCTATCGCAATGCGGTGTTGACCGCCGTGCTAAAAATGAATGAAGCAACCACCATGGTGGTCTATTATTCGCGGCGTTTGACTGCTGACTGGAGAGTCGCGGGCTCATTGAGAAACATACTTACATGAAGAGCGGACATAAAGACATGCCTAAATGAAGAGCGGCCGCAGGGCCCTGCGGCCGAGCTACTGCACTGCTTTCAGCGCCACGAGTGGCTGGTCAGATCTGATAATATCTTCAGAATAAATAAAATAACAAATTTTTTTTTTCAATGCTGAGATTTCAAATGGTATCCCCAATCTCCGAAAGTGAGTGTCTTTACGACTAGGCTACACATCCATGCTTCCAGAAAGGGAATACAGGTAAAGTACATCTAAATCACATGAATGTGCACACTTCGTGCAAAGCACATGCAGAAAGACAACACTTCTTAGTCAGGCTTCACTGTTTTTTTTTTAGTAAAGCTTTAAACGTCCTCAGCTGGAGACGATGTAGAGCAGCAATCGAAAACTTCCCAACTCATTAAAATTTCTTCTTTTCAAAACGTTTGATTCCAAAGTTGAGTTTTTATTGTCCTTCCGAGGTGGCTATTACATGTCTTCACGAAGTAGTAAAAATGATCATGGATACGTCATTTAGCAGTTGGTCACACCCTTTCTTGCTCGGCTGCGAAAAGTCTTGAGTGGCCACTCTTTATATAGCATATTTATCTATGACCGGATCGCATCGGGGCCGCCGCATGTCGAGGGAGGTGAAATGCTAGACTCCTGTGCATTTACATATCAGTGCACGTTAAAGAACACATAATGGTCACAATTTCCGCAGTGACTCCGCAACGACAGACCTCGTAATCAAATCGTGGTTTCAGAATGCAAGACCCGAATAATTATTCAGTGAAGGAACTGGGCACGTGGCATTCGCTTATCAAAGACTACAAGCCACCGTGCCGCTTGCATCAGCACCTTCCTTGTGCCGCACTGCAATGTGCTGACGCACTGTGAAACCGATGCACAGAGACGAGTCCGCTCAATTCTCGGTGGTCTGCGCGCACTGCTCTTTCGTTTGAAGCATGATTCAGCTAGAGCTCTGCAATTAAATAGCGCATGAACGCAGTCGCCTGGTTTTATGTCACATTGCGCAGGCGTTCTTTAAACATCGAAACGAACATCACCACACTACGTTAGTATGTTGCAAAAAGAGAAATAAAAAGATCAGTCGATTCTGAATCCTCTCTACGAAGCAGGAAGCACACTTCAACATAAAGTAACTCTTATGCAAATTGCATAATTAATGTTGGTGAGTTAACTAAGTAGATGAAGCTGACAAAAATACTCCAAAAAGCGTCACATTGGGGAAAACTATGTGCATTTAGTTTTAGCCAGCTGTAATCACACCCCCCCCCCCCCCCCATTTTCTTGCACACTAAACGAAAATAATCTGAAATAACTTCAAAACTGGGTAAACCACCTGTCCTCTAGTGCGCTACCTTTTCTTGGTTTTCTGAAAGTGCCTCATTTCTGAATAATGTTTTTGTACAACGATGTATACTATAGCTTAGAAAATAAGCAGTCGAGCTGCTGGGATCAACTTCAGGACGCGCGGTCGACTACCGGCCAGATTGTCTACACGGTGAAATGGCAAGAACA